GGCAAACCCAGACCCGCGGCGCATGGGGATGTGTGTGTGGACCTGAGTGGGCTCTGTGATCTGAGGAATGGCTCAGGCGCATTTAAAATAACTCCGTTCTCAGTTAATTAACCAGCCCGGCCCCCCACCTCTGTTACCGGAGCGTGGCCTCAGCGCGACCCGCCCGGACTGCAGAGAGGGGCCTGAGCCAGAGGGGCCTGAGCTCAGAGGGTGTCTTCGCTCCAGCTCCTTCCCCGGGCACCTTCCTCAGGGGGGCACCGGCCAGGACCACCAGCCCCTCCCCCGGGAGCCTCCTCCAGGCTCAGGGCCGCTCCGCCCTCCCCACCAGCCTCACTCACTCGCACAGAGCTCACCTGTGCGCCTTCTGCAGGGTCTGTGCTTCACGCTCTCTGCAAAGGCGACTTCACACCTACCCCCATCCTCAGACCCTCCCCACTGCACCCACACCCGCACCCTCCCCACCACCCACACCCTCCCCACACCCGCAGCTCCCCACCACCCACACCTGCACCCTCCCCACCACCCACACCCTCCCCACCCCCCACACCCACATCCTCCCCGCCACCCACACCCACCACCCACACTTCCCCGCTGCCTGAAATGTTCTTGTGAGATTGTGGCCACCGTCTGCCTCTCTCCCCCTGACCCGGAGACCAGGACAGCAGGACCCACTGTCTCTCCCAGTGTCGCCCCCCCTAACCCTCCCCCCCCCCCATCCCCAGGAATAGACCTGGGACGGGACTGGATGGGATGACAAGCGCAGGCAGGAATGGTGACTGGCACCTGCTCTCTAAGCTTTTGAATGTGGCCTGTCCTAGCTCAGCCCCGTGTCCCGGCCCAGACCTTCAGCCCCGGCCTCTGCAGCCAGCGCCACCCTCAGGCAGCAGCACAGGGCCTCACCGCGCCAGGCCCTCAGGCAGCAGCACAGGGGCCTCAGCGTGAGCCAGGCCCTCAGGGGCCCTCAGGCAGCAGCACAGGGGCCTCAGCGTGAGCCAGGCCCTCAGGGGCCCTCAGGCAGCAGCACAGGGGCCTCACCGCGAGCCAGGCCCGGGCCAGGTGCCGGGGTTCAGTGGCGAGCAAACCAGACCCAGTCTAGCAGGTCTACACAGTGAGCCTCAGGCACTCATTCATTCATTCATTCATTCATTCATTCATGAAACGCTTATGTGGGGGTTTTTATGTCAAGCACTGTGCTAAGAGCTTTTTAAGTATAAGCCGCACACCAGTCTAGGAGGCAGGAGCTATTATGAACCCCATGTTAGAGCCGAGGAAACTGAGGCACAGAAAGTGGGGGTTCACACAGCTGGGAGAGACAGTGGGACGCCAGGCGCTCTCTCTCACTTCGCTTCCCCTCTTTCCCTCGGGCTCACCCTGACCCTCCCCAGCCTCTCTTCCGCGGGGCAGCCAGCGAGGGCAGGGCCAGGGTGCCACCCTCTTCCGGCTCTGGGTTCTGGGTGGCCAGCACCCCCAGTCCCCGCGTTCCCCGGGTCCCCTCACCCACAGGCTGGGAGGGGGGGTCCCGAAGCCCAGGGAGGGGGTTACAGCTGTGACTCCCAGTGGGGGTCCCGGGGAGCCTCTCGGCAGGAGAGCCTCACTCCTCCAGTCGCCCCTCAGGGAGGAGGCGCCGTCACCCATCACAGTGCCACCGCCTGGTCCCCTGAGGCCGGAGACACTGCGGGCGGCCGGAGTGTGAGCGCCCGAGAACCTGGGCAGAAGGCGGGCCTCCCAAGCGGAGTCTTCAGAATGCAGTTCGAGAATCGCACCCATTGCAATTTCATTTATTGGGTTTTCTTAACGCACGGCCTTTCAGATTTGGGGATAAATGGATTCAATTGAGAAATCAATGCTTTTCTATACCAACGATTCAGAGAATTAATTACTCTGCCAGCGGGCCGGTCCAGGAAAACGCTGTGCTGTCCCCCGTCCTGCTGTAAGGAGGGGTGCCCCAGGACCGTTTTCTCTCGTTAGCGGGTGCTCATGGAAGTGGCCAGCGTCTGCCTCTGCCCCCATTTTATAGATGAGAAAACAAAGGCCCTGGGAGATCAAATAGCTCAGAGAACCTCTGTGCTGGCTCAGTGAGGAAGAAACCGAAGAAGCTGCAACATCCGAGGTTTGGAGAGCAAGGCCCAGCCCTCAGGAAGGACCGGTGGGGCTCAGGAAAGGGTCCGGGTCCCCGCCTCAGGGTAAAGCCCTAGGGAGGGGCAGGTGCAGGGGAGTGAGCCCTGGGCAGCGACTGACAGGGCTGTAAGTGATGTCATTAAAACAGTGGGGTGCTGACACTGAACAGAGCGAGCCAGGGCCCAGATGCTGAGACAGGAAAACTGGTGCAGATGTGGGGTTTGGAATACGGTGTGAAATGTCCTTTAAAAATCAGTGGCGAGCCCGGCTGATCTGTGAACCTGGAGGTCACGGTTTGATTCCCGGTCAGGGCACGAGTCTGGGTTGCGGGCTCCATCCTCAGCATGGAGCGTGCAGAAAGCAGCCCATCGATGATTCTCTCTCATCAGTGATGTTTCTCTCTCTCTCTCCCTCACTTCATTTCTGAAGTCAATAAAATGTACTTATAAAATAAAATCAGTGGGGAAAGGTCGGTTGATTCTGTAAGGGCTCAAGGCAATTATTATAGTTACCCATTTAAGAAAGCTACGTTGGACCCTCACCGCACCAGTCAGTAAGATACGTTCCGGAGGAATTAGACCAACAGCTGTAAGTACGTTAGGAAACTATAGGAGACTGTGCGTGGTGCTGGTGTTCTTAAGTCAGACACAGGAACTGCAGCCCAAAAAGGGAAGGACGGTGGGTCTGACTCCATCAAATACCAAAACGTACGACCCAAGCAGATTTACTCACAACCACCCAAACGGGAAGCAGCGAGGATGCCCTTCGGGAGGCGATGGTGGATGAGCCGAGGGCGTCCAGACAGGGAGCGTCATTCAGCACCAAAGACCGTGAGCCGGGCCACGGGGGCCACGGAGGCACCGGAATGCACACTGCTACGTGGAAGAAGCCAGTCTGAAAGGCGACCTCCCTCTGTGAGCCCAACAACCCACGTTCCGGAAGAGGCCACACTACGGAGGCAAAGAGAAGAGCAGGGGCCGCCCAGCCTGGGAGGAGGGAGAGGGAGGAGGGTGGAGCATGGGGGAGTTTAGGTCCGGGAGCCTCTTGGGTACAGGACTCGGGTCCCTGTCCCTATACAAGTGTCAAAACCCACAGCACGTGCAGCACCAACAGTGAGCCGAACGTACACACCGTCGATTTAGTTAGGAACAATTCCTCAAGCCCTGGCTGGTGTGGCTCAGTGGATAGAGCATCGGCCTGCAGACCGAAGGGTCCCAGGTTCGATTCCGGTCAAGGGCACATGCCTGGGTTGCGGGCTCAGTCCAACGTGCAGGAGGCAGCCATTTAATGATTCCCTTTCTTCCTCTCCCCTCCTCTCTGAAATCAATAAAAATATATTTAAAAAAAAAAAAAAAAACAATGCCTCAATACTGGCTCCTGAATGGAAACACACGTACCCCACTCACGGTGAGGCGGAGAGAGGGGGCATACGGGAACTCTCTGCTATCGGCTCAGTTTCTCTGCAAACCTAGCGCTGCTCCAAAGATAGAGCCTGTTCATAACCAAAGAGGCCTCGGTGTATGGGGAGCAGGAAACTACCTGCGGTCCTGGCAGCAGACGGGATTAGTGACCAAGGCCTCTAAAGAATTCCTTCCAAGGGATGAGGAAAAAGGATTTTCCAAAACGCTGTCACCTGGGGCGTTGGCCCTCGGGGGTGCGGGTGAGCCTGGCAGGAGGAGCTCATTGTTGCGTTGCTTTTAGGCAAACACCTGGAGACAGCTCGAGGCCCTCAGCTGGTGGAACACATTAAATAGGCTCCTCATTATCAAGGCATCCCATGCGAGTTCACCCAAACTGGTGCCAAGCAAATAAACAAAGCTACCCGTAGGCTCGCCCCCTCGCCTCCCCCCCCCCCCCCCCCCCCCCCGTCCCACAGAGCCAAGGCCGAGGGGGCCGGCTCAGGATGGGGTTCGGTGTCCTCAGGCCTGCCACAGAGAGCCTCGGGGGCTCCTGATGGGACTGGGCACTCGGCACCTGTGTGTCACCTCCCCCCCGGGTGCCCTGCCTCAGCGCCCCCAGCAGCCCGAAGGGCAGCCCTCACCTGAGGTCAGAGAGCAGGGGCCCTGTCCACGCGAGGCTGACCCAGCCCGGAGCACGGGCACCACCTGTGTCACCCCTGAGGCCCTGTGCCTGGCAGGCCTGGCCGGGGGGCTGGGAGGAGACACGGGTGTGCCGGAGCCTCTGCCGGAAGCTCCGTGACCAGGGCCCGCACTTCCACGGGTCGTTGTAAAGATGAAAAGAAGCAAGAACCGAGGTGCCAGTCGGACCAGGTGCCTGGCCAAAGCCAGTGCTCTCGCACCCCTGTTCCCCGCTCGCCAGCGGCCTTCCCCCTCAGTGCCACCCGCTCCCTCTGTGTCAGCTCCGTGCGGGCAGCGGGCAGCGGGCAGCGCCAGGGCTCCGGCCGTCACATCCACCGGGCGCCCCGGGTTTATCAGAACCTGGCAGCCGCATGAGCATGCCCAGTGGGCACCAGGCACAGAGGCCCCTCGGTTTACCCTCTCCGCTTGGCTGTCACAGTCCTCGTCCCGGAACAGAAGGCGCTGAGGCTCAGAGGAGGGAGGTGCCTGCCCAGGCTGCACGGGGAGACCCTCAAACCAAGTTCTCCCTGGGCTTGCTCTTCTCCAAGCTGCCCTCTGCCCTCTGCCCTTTGGCCTCCCCGGTTCAGGTAGAAGGTGTTCATTGCAGCGGTGCTTATAGAGAAAAAACCGGAAGCAAGAATCTTGGACACGAATCCTGTCTGTTGCATGGACTATACATGGTTTACTGCGACTGTCCTTCCCCATGGGGTGGGGTGGGGGGGTCCATGCTCTGCCCAGCACTGGTGGGCCCGTGGGGTGCACAGAGCCCCCCTTTGCTTCCTGATTCCGCTCTGCTCCCCGCAGGCCTCCTGGGAATGGTCGCCCACATGATGTACACCCAGGTGTTCCAGGTCACCGTGAGCCTCGGCCCCGAAGACTGGAGGCCCCACTCCTGGGACTACGGGTGGTCCTTCTGGTAAGTGGCCTTGACCTCAGACACAAGAGGCCTGAGGCATGCTGGGACTTCCACAGCTCAGTCCAGGCGGCGGGGGGGGGGGGGGGGGGGGGATTGGGGGTGAGCCCGGAGCCCAAAGGGTGGGCCCACTATCATTTTAATCAGCCTCAAGCTAAGAATGGCTTTTACACTTTTAAATTCTGGGAAATAAATCAAAAGAAGAATCTTTTGTGAGATGCGAAAATTACGTGAAATGCAAATGTAGAGTGTCCATAAATAAAGTTTTATTGGGACACAGCTGCGCCCATCATTTATATGTGGTCTACGGCTGCTTTCCCGCTACGGGGACAGAGATGGGACGGCCCACAGAGCCTGAGCTATGTACTGCCCGGCCCTCCCCAGAGGACGTGTGCCAGCCCTTCTGAGAGGCGGGGGAGGGGGAGGGGAAGCTGAGGCGGGCGAGCCCCGGAGGGTGCTGGGGGTCCGATGGGTGCGAGGACCCCGGGGAGGGGCTCCGAGCCGCGGAGCCCGGCGTGTGAGAGGCAGAACCGGCAGGAGGCCTGTGCTTGCCCCGAGTCAGGTAAGCAAGGGTTTGTGTGAGTTCGTGTCACTGAACGGTCCTCGGGGATCAGCGAGGGGCTTGGCTTGTGACAGGGACACCCGCCCACACTTGTCTGGCAATAAGGGCGCCCGGGCTCCTGGCGCGGGGAGTGTAGCTGAGCATTCACTTCAGGACACGTCTGACTGGCGTCGCTGACGCCATGGCTGTCTCCCCTCCGTGGGCACTGAGCATTGTCCCCCCACATGCCGACTCCACCCCTGGCTTCCCTGGGGGAGAGGGGGGAGAAAGCTCCTCCTTCACTCACAGGGACAGCGGGGCCTCCCTTCCCCCAAAGTCAACTATAGCTCCAGCCTCCCTCCCATGAGCCCAGCTCAGGCCACTCCCTCTCCTGACCCACCACCATGACGAAGGGGGTGAGGGGGTCACCAGCTTATGGCTCAGCTTACCAGGCCCGTCTCAGGAGCTGGGAAGGAGTCAGGCTCCCGGTGGCACGGGTGCTGGGTGAGCTACCAGGACGCCTGCTTCAGGCTGGCTGGGTCCAGGTGATCAGCCGATTCCTTGGGAACTGTCACCCTCCCCCTCATTCCTGCCTCCATTCCCTTCGTGCTGGTTTCGTTCACAAGCTTTTCCCGGAGTGATGGCCAAGAGGGTCACCACGCTCAGTTCCAGGCGTCCATCCCACAGGTGCAGCAATGGCAGCAGAGAGGCCGTCTCCCCACCCTTTCCAGCCCAGACCCCGGGGGTGCCCTTCGCTGGCTTGGCTTAAGTCATGTGACCATCCCTGAGGAGACTGGACGGCTCTCATTGGTCTGGCCTGGGTCACATGGTACTGCCCCCACCCAAACCCTGGACAGAAGTGGAGTAGGCTGCCCCCCAGAGGAATCCTGGGGGGGTGGGGGGGAGGAGGGTGGAGGGGGAGGAAAGTTGGGTGGGATTGGGGGGCTGTTATCAGAAGGAGTGTGTGCTGGAGAGACCTGGACCGAAGTTGCCCAGTGCACAGGGTTAGGGCTGCCTCATGGCTGAGGCCATTATCCATTCGGTCATTAAACGAACATGTACCCCCTGAGCACTACAGGGCCGGCCACTCTCCTAGCAGGGTGTGTGTGTGTGTGTGTGTGTGTGTGTGTCTGTGGGGGGGTTGGGTGGGGTGGTGGGGGGACCGCAGTGCCAGGGCATTGCAACCCCATTGAGACGAGTGAACTGTGCTTTGTGCCATGATGTGGACCCTCCTGGGGGTAGGTGAGGAGGGAGTTGGGGGAAGGGGGCAGGGGGGGAGGAGGAGAGGTCACCACCCACCACGGTGGGAACAGAGAAGGGGTCTCTCGGGAGGATTTGGTCAGGTGTGGGCAGAGGAGGGAGGAACAGGGTGCGGGATGGGGAACAGCAGACGGCGGTGAGCACGCACATCGGGAAAGGCTGTCGCTGTCAGGAGGAGCGATGACCCTGGGGACCCCTGCTTCACCCCCTCCCCCTGCATGGCTCTGCCCCCTTAAAGGAACCCTGGCCTCGACACCATCGCAGACTCCCTTTAAGGAGACCCAGGACCGCAGAACCAGCCAAAGCTCTGACTGCCTTCACCCACCCCTCCTTTCCCAGCACAGCTCCTCCTTAGACCTCACCCCTCGGGAGAGGAGGAGACGGGGAGAAGACATTTGTGGGTGTCACCTCCGTGAAGTGGGCACAGGTGTCACCCCAGCTGTGCTGGGCGCGGGCACCTGGTGGAGTGGCTGAGGCAGGAGCGCCGCAGGGAGGCGTCCAGGGACCCCTGTGGGGGGCAGCGCCAGGTCGGGCCCAGGGGGGGCGGGCCCAGGGGGGGCGGGCCCAGGGGGGGCGAGTCCAGGGGCGGCGGGCCCAGGCTGGGGGTCAGGGGGGCTCTAGAGCCCCGCTCTCAGCCCCGTGGGCGGCTGGTGAGACGATGGGGGTGGACACCGCTCCTGTGCGCCTAGCACACTGTTTGACGGGCAGATGCTCTTCTGATGTCACCGCTGTTCATCGAAATGTAACTCGGACAGTAACCCCGTTTGCATCTGTGGGAGCTGAGGCTCAGAGGGTTAGGTCACAGGATTCTGGACCGCCTCCGCCCAGCGGCCTCGGGCTCTCCACCCGGGCCCTCGGCGCCCAGACCCAGCCTGCTGGCGTCGGCCATGGGCACCTTCCCCCGGAAGCCGAGTCTCTGCCCGGCTCCTCTGCTCCCCAAGGGCTGCCTCCCCCCAAAGGGCCAGTGAATTCCCACGACTTATGTAAGACGGGACGGTGCGTAGCCCCGCTTAGAGCTGACCCATTTCTCCCTGTCACCGGGGCCCACAAGAGGCACCCGCCCCGCTTCCATGCCTCACATCTGGGGCCGTGCAGGGCCTGGCGCTGTCATCGCTCCAGTTCAATGTGTGTGAGGCCATTTGGCGCAGTTCTGGCCCCAGAGCCCCAGGCGGCTGCGAGGAGACCAGCTCCAAGGCAGGGCAGCCCGGCCTCTGTCCCGGGCCCCGCGGGGAGAGCAGACCGTGGGCGCCAGCCTCCCACAGGGACGCTGCTGCGGACGGTGAAGGTGCCGGTTAGGGGTCTGACCGAACCCAGTGAGCTCGGCCTCACCCACGCCGCCGGGCGGTGCTGGGCCAGGGGGCAGGGCCGCTGGCTGAGGGGTGGCCTCTAGCAGATCCTGCCTCTGACCTTCACTGCGGTGGACCCTGCCACGCCCGCCCTCCCGAGCCTCAGTGCCCGCGGCCGAGAGGGGGCGGCCTCAGTGCACCGCGTGGGGCTGTGAGCAGAGTGCGGTGTTCTCTGCGGATGCATAGCCCGTCACGCATGGGGATGCATGATGCTCTCACGGTTCCGTGGTTCGCTGCGCTCAGCTGGGGGCCTGGCGTGGGGCCTCCCGGGACGCCTCAGCCGGATGTCGGCGGTCCGGGCATCCAGATGGCCCCCGGCAGCGATGGCAGGTGGTGCGGCGGGCGCGGGGGGCTGCCCCTGGAGCGGCTGCCCCAGCACGGCGTCCGGGCCCCTCGGGGAGCAAGTGTTCCCAGGGATCCGAGCGGAAGCCACAAGTTTACCTCACAGCCTTGCTCCGGAGTCACGGGGGCCCTGCTGTGCATTCTCTCGCTCCCGAGCAGGAGGAGGGCTGCACAGAGCCCCAGCCCAGAGGTGGCTCATGGCCCTCGATGGAAGCAAGCTGCCACCGGGACTATGGGGAGTCACGCCCGTGGGCTGCAGCTCGGGGATCGTGCCTGGGATTGTGGCATCAAAACAAGCAACAGCCCCGTGGAGCCTCAGCTCCTCCTCTCGGGAGGGGTCATGGCAGCGCGGGTTCGGGGGGAAGGGGGGACTGCTGTGAGGACCGTGGGGGCCCAGCTCCTCCAGTGCTTGTGCGCAGTGTGTGCTCGACGAGGGCAGCGATTGCACACGTGGGAGTGACATTGGGCCTGCTTGTGGAGAGGCCTGAGGCCCACATGCCCAGGAGCATGGCAGCCCCCCTGCCTGGCTCCCCAGGCTCCACCTACACCCCCACCCCTGTACCTCCAGACTCGCAGCTTGCTTAGCCCCAGAACGTCAGTGTTGGGTTAGGACCCAGCCCTGGCTGCTGTGCCCCTCATTCCTCCACCGCCTCCTTTGGCCCTGCCTGAGCCCCGGGCCCTCCAGCCGCCTCCCCGCCTGCTCCCGAGTCTCCGCTCTCCAGGTCTCCCTGTGGCCACGCCAAGGCAAGCCCCTGCCCAGCCCCCGGGAGCCGGATAAATTTGAGCTTGGTGCCACCAGCTCAGTGCCAGGCCCAGCGGGAGGCGCTTTCCAAGCCTGAGCTGGACAGTCCCGCCGCTGAGGCCCACGGAGGGGGTACCGGGCCCCCTGGCTGGACCGGGGCACAGCCTCCGGAGAGGCAAAGGCCCGAGTCACACCACTGGCCTCAGAGGCTGCGAACTCAGACAGCCCCGGGCTGAGCCCTGCCTGCCAGCGTCCTGCTGAGCCTGCCGCAGGTTATTTAAATGTTCCCATTTGTTTTTAACATCGAGAAAGGCACACGTTTCACATAGAAATCCAGGCCTCTGGCTTCCCCTGGGCTGTCAGCATGAGGAGCTATGTTGGTGCCTGACTGGCATGGCCACCAGGCTTCAGGCAGCTGCAGTTATGGTCGCCCCATCCACTGGGGCACCAGCCTCCCAGTTCACCCCAGTCCCCCCACTCCCTCGTGCCTGACACTTTCACTTTCCTCACTTAGCCCTCCCCCTGACCCGTAGGGAACTTGCATCCGTGGCCTCTCCTTGGAATGGCAGCACGTCAGGTTCCTGGTGATGGCGGGAGAGCAGACAGCTGGTTCCTTTGTGCTTCTGCTCTGCCCTGGATCAGCATGGAGACGGATGGGAAAGGGGCCCTCTCACCCCAGCACACACAGTGAGACCCGGAGCATTCCTGCTGCAGATGGAGGGAGGGACAGGGTGGCGTCGATGAGCTCGGAGCACAGAGAGGGGAGGCAATCCAGCCAGGTCGCACAGCGTTAGAACAGCACGTTGGGCTGGGTTCCGGGAGAGGGGTCCTCTCCGGGTGGAGCCCCATCTGTGTGGAGCGCAGTGGCTTCGCTGCTACCTCTTCCCTCTCCCCTCCCCCACTTCCCAGCCTCCAGGAGCTCAGGAAAGCAGGACACTAGCCCTTACTCTCTGGGGGCCCAGGGCGCCCATTCTCTCTGCCGGGCACAGCTGGCATTTCGGCATATTGATCCCCCGGAGGGGGGAGGAGTGGTGGGAGGTGTTTGCTGCTGTGACCTTCGCAGATCCTTGGCCCCAAAGAGCCGCTGGAGAGGGTGTTTGCTTGTGTCACCACTGAGTGGTCGTGTGGTCAGCAGGAAGCTCTGGCTCTTCCTCATCTCCCTGAGGCGGGTGACGCTGGCCTCCTTTCCTCTGAGACCAGGTGGGTCAGGAAAGATGTGGCTGCCCATGAGGGCCCTGCTGGCCGTGGGTGGATTAGCCAGGCTCCGGACCCACCCACAGCTCCTGATCCCGTCAGCTGGGCACTCAGAGTGGCCTGGACACCGGTGCTCTGTGCAGTGGCCCTGTGCCCTCAGCCCGCAGGTGAGCTAGGGCTGGCCAATCAGTGAGCAGTCAGTCTTCCCGCTGAGCGGGGCCTGGATGGGCTTCATGGCACCATGTGTCTCAGAGGCTGCTCCCCCAGCGTCCCCGGCCCAGCCTTCAGCTCCCAGAGGATAGCGTGGCTGACAGCCACCCCCCTCCCCTCTCCTCCCCCACAGTGTCCACTCTGCTCTTGGCTCAGAACACCAGGCCACCCACCCACGTGCCCAACAGCACCAACTCAGAAGCACAAGCTGCAAACACCAGCAGGGTTTTCACACTGCGCCCTGGGTGGGTGCCACTCCCCCTCCCTGCTTGGGTGGTATCAGAGGAGTAGTGGGGACAGGATGTTCACCACTGCCCAATGGTGACGAAGCCACCCCCTAGCGGAAGCCACTGGAGAGAGCAATGAGGCTGGTGGGTCTGCAGAGGCCTAAGGGGCCAGAGCTCCACCCTGCCCAGCAGTAAACTATATATATCTTCCCACCTGGGTCAGTGAAAAGCGCCTCAAGGCCCCTGGGACTATCACAAATGACCTAGCCCTGGAGTTCTGGAAGAAGAGAGGAGGACAAAAGCACTCAGAGGAATAATGGCTGAACACAAAACTTTAAAAGCTACATAGTTAAGAAGTGGAGTGCAGCTCCAAACAGGATAAACCCAAAGAAATCCATGCACCATAGTCCAACTTAGAGACTAAAACCAAAGAAAGCAAAATATCGAGAGCAGCACGTTAACCATAGAGAAGACCAATCTAAGTGAGGGAGTGAGGGTTTTGCTTCAGAAACAATGGAGACAAGAAAAAGGTGGCAGCACATGTTGTGCAGAATGAAAAGAGCAGCCAATTCAGCATTCTGTTTCCAGCAAAAACATCCTCCAGGAAAGGGAAGGGAAAGTCAAGACATTCTCTGGTGGACGAAGACTAAAAAAAAAAAATGAGTTGCCAGCAGAGGTATCCTAAAAGAAGGGCGAAAGGAAGTTCTCTAAACAGGAAAAAAAAAATCTTTTTAAAGAAGCAATCTTGGAACAGCAGTAAAGAAGAAAGAAAACTTTACTTTCCTCCTGAGTTTTCTAAATAGAGGGGAACTTTCAGCTGGCTCATGTGGCTCAGTGGTTGAGAGTTGACCTAGGAACCAAGAGGTCACCCGTTCTATTCCCAGTCAGGACACATGCCCGGGTTGCAGGCTCGATCCTTGAGGGTGTAGGAGGGTGGCATGCAGGAGGCAACCTATCAATGATTCTCTCTCATCATTGATGTTTCTCTTGCTCTTTCTCTATTCCTCTCTGAAATCAATAAAAAACAAAAACAAAAAATTAAAAAATTGAATAAAAAATAGTCATGTTAGCCAGCCTTTCTGGGACACGGACTGGGTGCAGCTCTGTTCCGGGCTATCTGCTTTCCTCTTTGCAACTGCGCTGTGAGGTGTGGCCCCTGCGATGCCCATTAAGATGGATGCCAGGACCATAAGGCCGAGAGGCGGCATCTTGCCCAAGGTCACTCAGGAGCACAGGTCACTCCGCCCCACAGGGACCGGCTTCCAGGGTTTCTGCTGCCATTTATCCTCACCATCAACTTCCACTCATCTCCTCGCATTACCTACCCCCAGCGTCCCAGCCCCCCTCCACAAACCCTCCTCGTCGTCGGCATCAGCTCAGACCCAGCACACGTCGCTGTCTGAGGCTGTGGTACCCGCCCTGTGTGGGCCCCGCATCTCGCCCCTGAGGGCTGAGCTCGGCCAGGCCTGCGTCACCCGGGGCAGATGCTGCTGCTCCCGCCCCAGCCCTCGAGGGGGCAGGCCCGTGTCCTGTTCTTGGCCGGGCGGCACCTGCTTAGGCCTGGCCCCGCAGAGGCAGCAAGCGGGGGAGGGGCGCCTGGGGGTGGGGGCTCACGGGCACCTCTCTCCTGTCTCCGCAGCCTGGCGTGGGGCTCCTTCACCTGCTGCATGGCCGCCTCCGTGACCACGCTCAACTCCTACACCAAGACTGTCATCGAGTTCCGCCACAAGCGCAAGGTGTTTGAGCAGGGCTACCGGGAGGAGCCGACCTTCACCGAGCCCGAGGCCATCAAGTACTTCCGGGAGAGGTCAGTGCACGGGGCGCCTCCGGCCGGGGCCTGGCCTCGTGGCCACAGGCTCCCAGGAGCACTGGACCGAGCGGCCGGCCAGAGGTGCGGGGGGCGGGGGGAGGCAGGTTGGGTGAGGCGCAGTGTGGACTCCACGGTGTGAGAACGTCTGGGGCGTCCTCATGTTGATGGGCCGTGTGACTGCCTTGAGCTCAGGCGATCAGAGCCTGAGCTAGCAGGAAGGGGATCAACTTGGAAGGTTTGCCTTCAGCCGCAGGCCTCGTAGAACCAAGGTGGGTGGGGGCACACAGAGGCGGGACCAAGGTCTGCTTCCTGGACTTGGTCACAGCACTGCGTGAGAAGAGGACCCAGCAGGGAGGTTGGTGAGGCTGCTGGTGGAGGGCTCCTTTAGGCCAGAACCAAACCCGATCACCTGAGACTTCGGTGTCCGCTGGGGAGGTGACAATAGATGGTTGGGTGGATGGTTGAATGGTTGGTCGGATGGATGGATATATGCATGGATAGATGATGGATAGATGATGGATGGATGGATGATGGATGGATGCATGTATGCATGAATGAATAATGGATGGATGGATGATGGATGGATAGATGCATGGATGATGGATGATTGGATGGGTGGGTGCATGTGTGGGTGGGTGATGAATGGATGATGGATGGATGATGGATGGATGGATGAGTGGATGGATGCATGGATGGATAGATGCATGGGTAATGGATGATTGGATGGATGATTGGATGGATAATGGATGGATGGATGGATGCATGCATGCATGGGTGGATGATGGATGGGTGGACGGTTAGCATATTTCCTGTGACCACCTCCTAAATAAGCTATTTTACCCAAATTCTTATCTCTGGGGAGTGATTGGACAAGCATTGATGCCTTCAGTGGATTGGACAAGCATTGATGCCTTCAGAAGGCCCCCAGGACTGCGGAGGGGGGGGGAGGGGCGGCTGTGGGGCTGGGCAGTGTTGAGGGGGTGGACTCTGCTGGACCCATGGGAAGCTTTTAATCCAAGGAGTTACATGGTGGGGCCTCTCTCTGACTTACAGATGCCATTGTCTCCCTGCCACACGGCCTCCTTTCTGTTCCTTGAACATTGCAAGCTCAACCCTACCCCAGGGCCTTTGCACCTGCTGTGTCCCTGCCTGGAACACTCACCGGCTGGCTCCCTCAGGCCTCTGTGCAGGGAGGCTGCCTTCATCAGTTGGTCTAAATTTGCACACCCCCAAACACCCTGTCTTAGGCACTCTTCAGCCCCTGCTATTTTCCGATAGCACCGACACAACCTAACATCATTCTATTTGCTATCTGGTAGTTTTCAGGCTGAGCTCCATGAGACAGGGCCTTGCCGTTTTGTCAGTGTATTATTCTGAGCATCTAGAACTGGGCCAGGAGGCGCTCATCACATTGTGTGTGTGTGGGAACGACGGGATTCTTCTCTTTGGAGACCTCAGCCCTGCCTACCTCGTGCCCTTTCAGCTCAAGCCCCTCCATCCCTGAGCCATTTAGCATCCAGCACCCCTCCCCCCACCAAGTCCCCGGTCTGGTGTTCAGATTCAGACCAGTCAGCTGTGGCCAGGGAGGTCAGGCCGACCGGGCACATGGGCCTGCCTCGCCCACAGCTGTGGCCGAAGCATGTCCACTAGGAAAGGGGCAATGGATGGCATAGATGGGACCCAGGGTGGGCACTCAGGGACGTTTATAGAAGCCACATGAGCAGCCCGATGTCTAAACCCATTCCATTAGCCCGGCAGCAGCTGTCCCCTCGGCCTGGAGAGCCTGGGACGCTGTGGGCAGCTTGTTTGCTGACGCAGAAAGCAGGACCCTCAGTGCTCAGAATTCTGCTTGCTGGTGCCCCGTTCAAATGGCCCCAGCGATGCGGGCGCTGGCTGCTTCCCGTGTATGTCCAGACATCGCCTCGCTCACTCAGCGCGAACATGTGCAGAGTGCATCGGACTTCCCCTCCCCCCTTCTCTGCGGGGAGCGTTTCAGCTTAGCTGGCTGTTCTAATGTCCGTGTGTGTGTGTGTGTGTGTGTGTGTGTGTGTGTGTGTGTGTGTGCCTTCCCTGCCAAGAGCTCAGAGCTCACAGACAGACCTCTGCAAGGTTTGCAGGTGGCCCAGACGCACCCCCAAACCGCAGCAGGAACCCCTGGAAGAGAGCCACGGTCCCACTTGCCCATGTTTTCTCCTTGAGGGCGGGGTGCTGTGCCGGGTGGTAGTGGGGGGGTGGAGGGCCCTGACCTTTGTTTCCCGTTTCTGTTGCTTTGCTGCTGTGGGACTCTGGGGCATTTCTCTGACCCCAGTGTGAGGGCTCTTGGTGTCCTGGGAAGGAAGGCTCGACTCTGATAAGCCAGGGATGTGCTGGGCACAGTGGCGGGCACACGGAGAGTGCTCAGTGCATGCCCGTGCCCGGCCCTTCTGCCACTGGTGCAGAGGAGGAAGCTCGGGAATGGTTAACTGGGGACGAGATGGAGAGGGCGTGTTAGATATTAGGATGTTAATAAATCATGTTCATAAGCACAGTTGGCACTCCCTATATGCTTTAGATGTTCATCCTCGACACCTCTGGGCGGTAGTAGGTATCCCTGTACCCCCATCTTATAGCTGCAAAATCGAGGCACAGAGAGGTGCAGTGGCCTGCCCAAGGTCACAGCTGGGGGCTGGTCAGGATCTCTGCCCAGCGCTGAGGGGAGTCCCTGAGGCTCACAGCGGGAGGGCAGGCAAGGTGCCAGGCAGCTAGAGAGCGAAGGGCGCAGGAGGAGACAGGCCTGGGGTGGGGGGTGCGAGGCCTCCCAGCTGCCCCTGCTGGTCCTGTCAGAGGAGAGGCAGGAGTGGCCACCTCACCCCGCCTCTCCCGCGTCTGCCCGAACGCTGCGCCACCTGGGTCTGTTGGGGTTTCTGTGCAGGAGCGAGCCTGCTGGGGAGATCCTGAGCGGTGGGAGACGGGACGTGCTTGCATGTGTGTGTGTGTGTGTGTGTGTGTGTGTGTGTGTGTGTGTGTGTGTTTGTGGGGGGTGTATGTGTGTGTGGACACGTGTGTGTGCCAGGGCCAGGGTGTACACGTGGGGTTTGGGGTGCACTCTGTCCCCATGACTGAGCAGCCTCACTGACTAGAAGAAACTTCTGGAACTAAACTCTCCCAGTGTCACCTTCTGTGTGTGTGTGCATGTGTGTGTGAGATGGAAGATGCTAACATGCCATCTCCATCTCTGCCTGGAGCACCCCATTCCCCCTCTCTGCCTGGAGCACCCCATTCCCCCTCTCTGCCTGGAGCACCCCATTTCCCCCTCTCTGCCTGGAGCACCCCATTCCCCCTCTCTGCCTGGAGCACCCCCATTTCCCCCTCTCTGCCTGGAGCACCCCCATCCTGGCCCGTCTTCCCGCAATTACTCCTGCAGTCTGGCGGGGGGGGGGGTGCAGGGGGCACACACATGCCCACTCCCTCCCTGTTCAGGAGTGCGGAGAGGGGGGCAGTGGTGGCAGGGGAAGCCTCTCTGAGGGAGCCTCTGGCCTGTCACTGGCCAGTCTGTCAGGCCAAGGTGACCTTTGCCCTCTGGGAGCTGCCTTCCCCCCCCCCCCCCCCCCCCCCGTGCTCACCGCTGTGGCCGGCTCCCTGGCTCTGTCCTCGGGGCCAAGGCCGGGGTCTGACTTAGCCCGAGGCCAGTCCTGCAGCTGGGGGTGGGGGCTCCTGAATGCCGGCGATTGCTTTTCTCGTAATAATTCCGCCAGGCGGTTCCGAAACCACCTCCAGGAGATGGTATCGAGGCGTTTCTTTTAAAACTCAGTATCGGAGCCACGGGAGAAAACTGCCGGCCGCGCGGGGACGGGGGCAGGGCCTGCCACGCGAGCTTTATCCCTGGGCCACGTTCTGTCTGGGAGGATGCTGCTCGTAAGATGGAGAAGAAAAGAGGATCCTCAGCAAACCCACTTATCCTCCCCCTCGGAATGGCCCTGATGCCGGGTCCGCGTTCCTGCTGCGGCCACTCGTTTGCCGACGTTCCTTTCATTCCCGCCCTGGCTCTGCGGAAACGGAGGCGGGAAATCGCCGTTCCCTGTCCCCGCGCTGGCCTGAGCCCCACCCCAGCCCTGCCAGCCCTCAGCCTCCCTTCCGCTGCTCTGCCTGAGGGTCACTTCCCAGCGGCCCTGGCACCTCACCACTCTGATTGGGGCCATTGAAGCCGCAGTCGTTGCCCCCCCATCCCTCTCCCTCGCCCCCTCCCCCCGCCCCAGGAGTGGGGAGCATGGGGAGCCCTCACCAGCCCCCACGTTAGATCAGCCGGTGGCTGACCGAGGCCCTCAGGGAAGGTGGAAGTCAGACCGGTCCTTGTGGAGGGAACTGACCAGTGGGAAGGACAGCTGCTCCCAGTTCCTCCTAAACACCAGTGGCCGGGCGGGGGTGGGGGATGAGGAGGGGTCAGGCTTGGCAGGTGCTGGCTGGCAGGGCCCCGCAGCCTCATGCCCGACCGTCACCACCGCTGCCCCCTGGTGATGCCCTTGCAGGCAGCCCTTGGGGGGCTCACTGGATGGAGCCCGGGTCCCTGGTGCCGTGAGGGGGTGCTTGGCCTAAGCCTGCAGGGGCCCCTCGGGCCCAGAGTGGCCCAGCGCCTGGCTCCTCAAAGGTGACCGGCCGACGGCGTGAGCCTCGCCCGGAAGCTGTTAGAAATGCAGACGCTCGGCCCTGCCTGCCCAGTCAGGCCTGCGTTGGGCCGGCTCCTGGGGGCCCTGTGGGCACTGCCCGTGCCAGAGCCCCTGGCTGGAGGGCGGGCAGAGGCTGCGGCTCAGGCCAGGAGGAGGGCGTGGCGGGCGGAGGCGCCCGGGAAGGAGGGTGCCCAGCCAGCCCCCGATGCCAGGGCGGTCCTGCCGGCGCCCACGTGCCCGGTCCGCGGATACAAGGACGGACATGGAGGCGGGGGTGGGGAAGCGTCCGCTGCCAGTGACATTGCTGCTGCGCCCACGCCTGCCCTTCGTGCCTGTGTTTTCACTTCACTTTCCAGTTTATCGCATTTTATTTAAAAGGAGGTGCCAGGTAGATTGAAAACGAAGGCGGAGGCCCAGATCTTTGTCACATGATTGGAGAAGCCGGGCACGTAGATTGTCAGTTCACACACCAGGAAGTGCCTGACACGGGGCAGTGGCCAGGCCGGGCCGTGAGGGGGCTGGGCTGTGAGTCCCCCCCCCTCCCTCCCCCGGAGCAGCCGTGGGGAGCCCTGTGCCGGGAGGCAGGCATGAGACCTGTGGCCCCGCGGGCAGCACCAGGCCTGGCCTACAGCAGCTGCTCCCTCATTGGCAGGTGTCCTTCGACATGTTAGCTATTGATCTCCGGGTGTCTTAGCCACAAGGTCTGAGTGATGGGGGAGAGCAGGGGCCATGCCGGGCGGGGCTGGCTCTTGCCTTAACGTCAACGCCTTTGCCCACTGGCTCACTCCCAGGCGGGGGCTTTCAGCCCCCCAGGAGGGGCCCAGCAGGAGGCCAGGAGGGGGATGACTTCAGGGGAAGAAGCCCCAAGACCTGGGAGCCTAGATGGTCAAGGTTAAGGCTGTGAGACGCAGGCAGCTATGGCGGGGGCTGGTGTCCGCTGACCCACAGGCAGGCACACCGGGAGGAGGATGGACTGGGGGGCCTGTCCAGCGGCTGGAGTCCAGCACAGCCCCCTGGCCGCCCCCCTAACCCCCCGAGCACCTCAGAGGGGGGACGCAGCACCTTGCTGGGCGCGCAGGCAGCACTGCTCAGAGGAGCGAAAGCCCGGGAAGCCACCAGAACGCTCGTCGGTAGGGCGTTGAATACGTCCTCTTCACAAGCGACTTTCAGGAAAAGTCACGTGCGAGGTTTACACGCACTGGCACAGAAAGAGGTGGGAAACTCCTGGGTTAGTTCTAAAAAAATCAGGTTCCTCAAAAAGGCGTGCTGAATGTGAGGCTATTAATGTAAGGATTAACTCTGAGAAGCGCTGCTCCTCGGAGGCGTAGCTACAGGACTCTGCTCTCCCGGTGCAGTGGGAGGGTGTTTGAACAAACCGGTACTCTCCTGCCCATGCTGTCTGCACAAGGGGCGGCCTGGCTGCAGGGGCGAGCTGTGGGCACAGCCTGGTCCACAGGCCTCTGTGGCCAGGAGGCCGAGGGCAGATGCTGTGAAGGTCGCATCAGGGAAGGTGTTCCCTCTCTGTCTGTTACCGGGACGTCTCAGAGGCACACTGATTTGTTGCCTCCCCCATGCACCCAACTCTTCAGTCCAAGAGACAACCCTCTAACCACTGAGCTAGCCAGCCAGAGCCAACCAAATTACTTTTGCAGATCAGTGCATCATGTTTTACACAAATCAAACCATTTTTTAAAATATTTTATTGATTTTTTTACAGAGAGGAAGAGAGAGGGACAGAGAGTAGAAACATCGATGAGAGAGAGTCATCCATCAGCTGCCTCTTGCACACCCCCTACTGGGGATGTGCCTGCAACCAATGCACATGCCCTTGACCGGAATTGAACCGGGGACCTTCAAGTCTGCAGGCTGACGCTCTATCCACTGAGCCAAACCAGTTTCGGCAAACCACGCACATTCTTTTGTAGCCTGCCGTCTGCAGGTAACCGAGCCTCCCTTGGTGAGCGCACGTGGGTTCGCACCCCGGTGCTGCCTCTGACTTACCAGCTGTCACATGCGCCAGTCAGGTCCCCTCGGTGCCTCCGTTTCTCGGTCAGGACAGCGGGAAGGATGCTCGCCGGGCAGGGGAGGGCCAAGTGCGCTCCGGAGGGGCTGTGCTGTCCGCCCGCTCAGCCCCCTCCTCACACCGCCCCTGGCTTCTCTCTCTCCAGGTTCGATAAGCGGGACCCGCACCAGGAGGAGGGCTTTCGCTTGGACTGTCGCCACGAGAGATACGAGCGATACCCAGCCCGTAAGTGGCCTCGTCCCCGGAGCCTGTGCCCACGCGGGGCCTCTCCCTGCCCTGCGTTCTCCCCGAGCACGCCCTGCAGATGGGGAACAGGCCGGTGTCTCAGCGGAGCGAGGCCTCTGCAGGCAGCGGCGGCCCTCACTGGGGGGGAGTTAGGGGGGGTGCTAAGCAAGCCCCAGGGGGGCTGAGAGCTGAGGACAGGCGGAGCTGCAGTTGGCCCCCAGAGACGCGGTAGGGGAGGTGCCGTGGGCAGGATTTGTCTGAGCTGCAGATGCCCAAGGTCACAGCTGTGGCCAGGAAGGTCAGGCCTCGTGTTCCTTGCTGCGGGGGACCCAGACAGAGTCCAGGGCTCCCTCTTGGAAAAGACCTGTCTGGCCGGAAAGCAGAGGGAGGCAGAGAGAGCAGGACCGCTGCGGACAGGAAGGGGAAGAGCCGAAGTGAGGCCTGAGTGAAAGGGGCGGCATGTCTGCGGAGCCCTGGATGCCCCCACCCCCGTGTGCTGCCCGCCCACCTGCCATCGGGAGGGCTTCTCCCGCCTGACCTCCTGTTCTTGCCGCCCCAAGCCCTCCAGAGAGTGCGCTCCACAGTCTGCAGACGCGGAAACTGAGGCCAGAGAGGAGGAGGGACCTGCCTACGGGCTCACAGCTCAGAGTCCGTGGCAGAGCGGGCAGAGCAGGCGCTGCTAGTGCCCGCCTGGTCGCAGCTCTCAGGAAGCTCAGTGGCTCCCAGCTGTGCTCACAGAGGGTGGGCCCCTCCCTCGCCCCAGGCTGGGGTCCGCAGGAGGCCTGTGCTTTGCACCTCAAGGTCGTCCCTCCTCTTGAATTCCTACCTCGGGGTCTGCTTCTGGGGAGACCCAGACTAAGACCCGGACGATTTAAACTCAGGCCTGTCTGACTCCAGCTCCTGTGATCTGAGCAGCGGAGTGAGAATGGCTGAGCCTGGAGGGAGCGGATGGAGGTGGGGGTGGGGAGGCCTGCTGGAGAGGAAGGGGAGGGGAGGGGAGGGGAGAGGAGGGGAGGGGAGGGGAGGGGAGAGGAGAGGGTCTGGCTTCTCTGGGAGGAAAGGGGCTCCTGCAGGAGCCACCGGCCAGGAGGACGACAGGAGGTGGCTCCTGGGTGGACCTGGGCTCACCCTGGCCAGTGGCAGGTGTCTGTGCCAGGGCGGAGGGCTTCCTGGAAGAGGGGGCGAGAACCAGGGTGGGGAGGCAGCTGGGAGCACATGCCTCAGAGAGAAGCCAGCAGAGAGCCCGGGACTCCTACGGCAGGGGCAAAGGGAGAGCCCGGCCCATGGCGGAGTGCCCCAGCTCCCCGCTGGTCTGAGCCGCCCAGACCCCTGCGGGGTGGGCAGGAGACCCTGCGGGGAGAAGCCGGGGGCTCTTTGTGGGGCAACTGGGGAGCTGGAAAGAGGGAAGGCTGAAGGGACAGCCCGGTCCTGGAATTAAGAATGAGGAGACCCAGGCCGGGGCCACGGAAGACTTGCTGCCCTTGCCCAGGTCCCACAGCCGCCCCCCCCCCCCCCCCCCCGGCACACAGCTCGCCTCCTGACACCTTGGCTGGGTCAACAGCCTGCAGAGTCCACCTGCGTTCCTTCACAAGCGCTCCCTGATCTGCTCTGGGCTGGGCCGGGCTGGTGCTGACCGACCAAGCGGGCAGGTGCGCACAGACCCAGGAGCTGGCAGTCTAGGGAGAGGAGCAAGCAAAGGGAACCCACAAACACACAAGACCACCTCGGGGCAGCGGGCAGCGGGCAGCGCGCAGCGGGCGATGGAGGAGGAAGCAGCGGCTGCTCCTGTGGAGCCTCATCTGAAGGATGAGAGGGGTCGGTTGATAAAGAGCCGGGCGGAGGGCCGGCAGGAGCAGCCAGGCCTGGGAGCCGGGTGGCCGAGGGGAGGTGGTGGGAGTGGGAGGCGGGCTGGAGGTGGGGGGCCGCCGTGGGAAGAGGGGGTGTGGCGGGGACCCCGGGCATTTTGAGCAGGGAAGAGACTACTCAGATTATACAGCCCCGTCTGCACTGCACACCGAGGTCTATGCCAGCGGGCACAAGCAGGTTACAGCTGCGAGCGCGCAGTGGTTACTCCGGAATTACCGCGTGTTAACCAGTCTGTTACCTCCCAGGGTGGGCCTGCTTCTTCCTCCGTCTGTTTGTGTGTCCCTGTCCTTATCCGTCCCTCCCTCCACCTGCAGCCGGGGAGGGCGGGAGGGGAGCTGGACCCGGGCGGCACATCTTAGTGGGTGTTGCTCTCATCCCTGGGAGAGACGGCAGTGGCCGGAGATGGACCGGAGATCAAAGGGGGGGGGTTGCGTCCTGTGGGGAGGCCAGCGGTGTGCCCACCTCGGTGCCGTGGGGAGGACAGGTGTGTGGGCATGATGGCTTCACTCACGTCCAGTCTGAGGGCGGCGGCTGGGGATGGAGATAGTGGAAAGCAAGGGGCTGCTGGGCCCTTCAGGGGAAAGGGGGAGAGAGGGGGAGAAGCCGGGAGGTCCTAGCTCCCTGGAGCCCAAGGAGAAGCTGGGAAGCAGGGGACAGACAGGGGGACAGAGAGGGGGACAGACAGGGGGACAGACAGGGGGACAGACGGGCTGTGAAAAGCTGTCAGCTGCCCCTCTCCCAAGGCCCCACTCCCAGCCGCTCAGGGAAGCAAAGACCCTCAGACCCGCCCGCCCCGTCCCCTCGCCCCCCTGCCAGGCGAGCCTTTCACTGGGAGCCGGGTGGGCGACGCTGACTCTCCCGGGGACCCAGAGTTAAAAGAACGAGGAAGAGCTGGTTTGGCTCAGTGGATAGAGCCTCAGCCTACGGACTGAAGGGTCCCAGGTTCGATTCCCATCAAGGGCACCTGGCCAGGCTGTGGGCTCGATCCCCATTGGGGGGTGCACAGGAGGCAGCTGATCAGTGGTTCTCTCTCATCACTGATGTTTCTCTCCTCCTCCCTGGAATCAATCGATGCAGACATAAAAGAACGAGGGAGACACTGGCCCGTCTGCTGCCAGAGCTGAGGGAGGTGCCGGCCCCAAAGTGTCGGAATGCCCGTGTGCGGTCACTTTAATTGTCCTAAAGGGGCTGCGTCTGTGGCCACGGGAAAGTGGTTCATTCATTCACTTACTAGTGAACAAACCTTTACTACGGACGCTGCCCTGGCGGGGCCGTGCGGGGCACGGGGAGAGATAAGGCCGGCTCCCGGGCCGGCAGCTCCCAGCCTCCGCTGTGCCGTGCAGCCCGAGCTACACCGGGGTCAGCCAGGCGCCTGGTCTGGCCGGGTGCGGGTGGGTGCAGGAGAGGGAGGGCAGGGCCGGGGGCTCCTCGGGGGTGGTCCGACCTGCTGGAACCCCAGGAACCAGCGGGAAGGGCCAGGCCCCAGGTCTGCTGCTGTACCTCAGCCTGGCGCACCCCCAGAGGGCAAAACATCCACCACTCCCTTAACCCTAAACACGGCCGTTCCACGGACAGGGGCAGCGAGGCCCAGGAGGGGCGCTGTGCCAGGGCGTGGCCGGGCTGGGGTTGCATGGGGCCCGTCTGGCTCCAGAGGCCGCACCCTGAGCCACCGGGTGAGCTGCCACGTGTCCGTCAGCAGGCCCCCGTGGGGGGACACCCCCCCGCCAGGCGGGCAGCCTGTGGGGGCACAGGGCGCAGCCAGCGTGGACTCGGTCCTCACAGAGCCCGCGGCCGGGAGAGCAGCCGATCAGACCTCCGGGATGGCGCAGTCTCCAGAGCACAGCCTCTTCGCCGCCGGGGCTTTTGGCCCAGACAATGTTGCGGAGATGCCCAGGCAGGTTTTGCAGCATGGTCTGCACCAGCAGCTGCTCAGCGTTGGTGGCGGGCTGACTTCGGGCACCGGGACGGGGAGGAGGGACACCGGAGCCGAGCATCACACACGGGCTGTGAGCGGGTCTCTGCTGAGCCCCTCGCAGGCACACACGTGGCAGCAGCCCGGGGAGGGAGGACGGCCATGGTGCACGTGGAAACGAAGGCGCCGAAAGGCAGAGGGGCTTGGCGGCGATCTCAGTCCCCGGGGGCTCAGCACAGCCTCTGGCAGAGCTCCCCCTCCCCCTGTCCGCTCCGGCGCCCCGACCCCTCGGCCCTGGCCCTCTCCCCCCCTGGCCTCTCCCGAACAGACGGAACATGGCCTTCCCAGGGCCTCCGCGCCTCTGTCCTCTCTGCCCCGAATGCTCGCCCTCTCCCGCCCTGCACGGCTGGCTTCCTCTCACCTTTGGTCTCGGCCAGCAGGCCACTGGCCCCGAGAAGCTGCCCCCGCTGCCCGCCATCGCCTGGGCCTTCTGTCCCTCCGAGTGTCTGTCCCGCTCGGACCTCTCACACGGGCAGGCCTGCGTGTGGCTCTGCCGTCTCTCTCCGCCGGGTTCCCTGAGAACGGGCACCCTGTCCCGTCCTGTCCGCGTCTGTATCCGGGAGCCTAGGACAGTGCGTGGCCCGCAGTAGGCACTCCCCAGTAGCACACAGTAGGGACTCGGCGCCTGGCTCGACCTCCAATCCCCTCCTGCTCCTTCCCGCCCCGGCAGCCACCGTGTCATGTGCAGCGCCATTTGCGTTGGGTTGCCTTAAAAGGGTTATGTTTCTCGGGCTGCTGTGTGTGATATGGATTCTGCCACAGCTTTTTTTAGTTTTTAATTTTTTTTTTTTTCCTGAGGAAAGCGTCTGCTTCTGAAACCCACCAGCCGCTCAGACGCTCATCAGATGTGACATTTGACAGCGAGGCGGCTGCCTCGCGGTCCAGGTGTCTGCATCTTCCTTCCGGGGGCCGCTGGGGTTTGCAACTGATTGCAGCTGTCAAGCCCAATGCCCAGGACACGCTTTTGATTCTGCCAGGTGTGTCTGGGCTGGCGGGCGACAGAGGCGGCTTCTGGGAGCTCCGTCTAGACGCGGCCGTGCCGCCGCCGCCCTCAGCACAGCGCCGGGAACCGCGGGGAAGGCTTTGCCGGGCCCAGAGCTGCCTGGCATTCTTATGAGACCGAGACCGGATCCGACGGAGTCCCGCCGAAGTCTCTCCTTTA